GAGCCAGCGCGGGGAGCGGGACATGCGCCGTCGCTACTCCGGAGAGCGCCCCGCCCTGTTTGTCGTCGAGGAGGGGGCGACTGGGCGGTGAAGCGCGCCTCTGGTTGAAAGCCGAGGTGCGCCCCCTGCCCGACGCCGAGCAGGCCCGCGAGCTCGCGCGCGCCCGCCGTGCGCTCGCTTGCGGCCTGCAGGGGGAGCTGGCGCGGCAGCTGCGCTCCGCCGCGGGCCTGCGCTGAGGCGCCAGCAGCGCGCCGCGGCGCTGGGGGCGCCGGCCGCGCGCCCCTGCTGGCCCGCGCTGGCCCCCCTGACTGCTGGCGACGGCGAAACAGCAGACTGGCGCGCCGCGGCGACGCGGGGGGCTGCGGCGCCGCTCTGCCGCGTTCTCGCGCTGCCTGGGGCCAGCGAGCTGACGCGGGCTGCGGGCCAGGGCCCGACGCTGGAGTGGCCCGCCAGGCTTTGCGCCGCCGCCGGCGGCTTGGGCCGCGCCGCGGCTGCGGCCGGCGCGGGGCGGCGTTGCCGCCCTCTCCTCCTCCTCCTCGTCCTCCTCCTCCTCCTCCTTCCTCCTCTGCCTGGGCGCTCGGCGGCGCGCCAACTCTTCTCCGCGCCATGCCCCTCGTTCCCCTGGAGCGGCTGGGGCGCGTCCTCGAGGCGTGGCTGGGGGGCGCCCCGGCAACGTGGGAGGCGAGTGTCTGTCTGTCTGTCTGTCTGTCTGTCTGTCTGTCTGTCTGTCTGTCTGTCTGTCTGTCTGTCTGTCTGTCTGTCTGCATGCTTACATGCTTTCATGCATGCATGCTTGCATGCATGCATGCACGCATGCATGCGTGTGTGTGTGTATAATTTCACGTGTATGTAAATACGTATGCATGTGTGTATGTATGTATGGTTTGATGTACGTGTGTCTGTATGTCTGTATGCTTGTATGTATGTATGTATGTATGCATGGGTGCATGCCAGTATGTATGTGTGTGCGTATGTATGTATGTATTTTGCGTGCGTGTATAGGCGTATGCGTGTATGTTTGTATGTGTGTATGTGTGTATGTATGTGTGTGTTGTACGTTTGCATGTGTGTATGTATGTATGTATGTGTATGTATGTATGCATGAATGAATGTGTGTATGTATTTATGTATGTATGTACGTACGTTCGTACGTATGTATGTATGTTTGTATGTATGTATGTATGTTATGTTATGTTATGTTTTGTTATGTTATGTTATGTTATGTTATGTTATGTTTGTTTATATATATCATGATGTTCAAACGCCCTGCCCCCTTTGGCCTGGTTTCCCTGGAAAAATGGGAGGGGCACGGGGCCTTTCAAGTAATATGGTTTGCCCGTTCTGTCCCAGCTTGTCTGGATGGGGTGGGAGGGGCGGGGGATGCCTTGTCGGCAGCGTGCTTTTCGGATACCCGGCCCGCTATGGAGGGGCTTCCCTGGATGGGTCAGGGGGGAGGGGCGCGACACTTTGAACATAGTACGTTTTGCGGGTGCCCTTCCCGCGTTGGCGGGGCATCCCTAGAGGGGCGGCAGGGGCCCAGTGGGACACGGGCTGCTTTTTGTAGGCCTCGGGCCGGGCCTTCGTCGCCGCATGCTGGACGCGGCTCGGACCCGTCTGGTCGTTCAACGGGCGGGCCCTGGCCAGTTCAATAACCATAGCGCAGCAAAGCGGCGGAAGCGTCAGTGGCAGCAGCGGCGGCAGCAGCAACAGCAGCAGAGGCAGCAGCAGCAGCAGCAGCAGCAGCGCAGCACAAGCAACACGAGCAGCACGAACAGCAGGCGGCGGCGGCGGCGGCGCGGCCGCCCCTCGCCTGGAGGAGCGGCAGGCGTCGGGCGACGGCGGCGAGTTCGGCCTCGATCCAGAGGCGACGCTGCTTCCACCCGCCAGCGTGCACCAGGTGTTGCAGAAACTCTTGAGGTCCCAAAGGAAGCCCTCGTTTTTTGACGAAGATGCCACTTTCGGGAACTCCAGGTTGACGCCTCATAGGGCCCCTCGAACGGACGCGCGGAACACCATGCATCGGGCAATTCTCTTGTCCCTGAAGGTGGAGGATACCGCAACAAACGGAAGTCCAAATCGAGGACGTGTTGGTTGATCGGGCATTGCTCAGCTAATTGGGGGCGATCGATGGGGCAAAGAAGCTTGCGCCTGTCGTGCCCCTTCGGACTCGCTGGGGGGCCCCTGGGGCCCCCTATTCGTGTACAGCAGGTGCACCTCTCTTCGCCCCCCATGCATCGCCCCCCGTTGAGCAACGCCCGAGTAGAGGTGGACGGTCCTTGCCCGGGGTGTCTCACAGGTCTACTCGGAAGGCCCTGTTGCCGAATAGTAATGTTAATGGTAACAGCAGCAATCATACGAATAGTACCAATCATCATAACACTTATGGTAATCGTAAGAATAATCACAGTCATGTTACTAACAGCAATAACACTATGATAATATTAATACGAATAATAAATAAGCCTACGCAAACGTCAACTGCCGGAGTTCCGCGCGGATTTTCGGATCGGCGTTGGAGCCCGTGCTCCGCGCCAGGGAGGGGGGTACAGCGACTATCCAAGAAATTCGCGCGGAGCTCCAACAGTTTACCCATTTTTATGCAACTGTATCCTCTTCCATATAGTGGCTTTCAAACAACCCATTCGGTGCCTGGAGGGGGCCCCGAGGTTCCAACATCGGCCCGGGAGTTGGGGACACTGTGGGAAAGGCATCCGACCGGGTCCGCGTATTTTCCCGTGGGGGGTGAACGGACGACGGACACGAGGGTTGGATTCTCCTCGCCGTCATTATCATATGCCTCCTCGCCCGCATGACTCTTTGATGTGTCACAGTCGATCCTCCTCATTTCCTCTCTCCCAGCGGATGGGATTGGTGGAGAATGGTGGAGGGAAGAGACGGAAGAGATAATGAGAGGAAAAGAGAGAGAGAGAGAGAGCAAACACAACACACACCAAACAAGAGAAGAGGGGGGAGAGAGGAGAGAGGACAGAGGAGAGAGTAGGACAGGAGGATGGATGGAGGAGGAGTAATGAGATATGGAGACTTGGGCGCGTGGATTGAGAAGGGAGGGAGGGGGTGGCCGAGGCAAAATGCAGGAGGGAGGATGGAGGAGTGGAGAGGTGGTGGATAAATCAAGACGGCAAGGAAGAAGTAAGAGAGGATGAGAGACAAGTGGGCGACGCAGTTCAGAGCGAAGGGGGCGAGGAGAAGGAGGATGACGAGGGCAAGCATGAGGGTGAGAAGCGAAGTAATCTGTATACAGAGAACGAGGAGGGCAAGGATGATGATGGTTGACGAGGAGGCGGAGGAGGAGGAGGAGGAGGAGGAGGAGGGAAGGACGGCGGAGGACGGACGGATGGGGAGGAGGAAGGGAGGGAGTGACAGGAGGGAGGGAGATAGGGGGGGAGAGGATGCTGGGGAGGGAGGCCTTGGCCGAGGAGACGGAGGAAGGGGCAGGGAGGGAGGCTAGGAAGGAGAGAGAGGGCGGCGAGGGCGCAGGGTGAACGGAATATCCGCGGCCATTTGTGAGGCGTTTGAGGCAGCATGCTCCAGGCCAGGACAGCTACGATGCCAAAGAGGAGGAGGATGAGGAGGAGGAGGAGGAGAAATTTAGGCCAGATGGCTTGTTCTACGAAGGCGTGCTTTCGCTAGATCTTGGGGATGGAGGTCTGGACTGACGATACTTGTTGTGTACCCGGCGACCAGGGGGATCTGAGGAATCGTCAGATTCTGAACCATTTTTCTGTTCACAGCCCAGAGTAGATCGGGCGCGCCTCCTACAACGTATGTGCAGGGTTTTCGCGAAGGGCAGAAGGGAGTGACGAGAGGGGGGGGGAAGAGGGGGGAGGGCAGAGGAGGGTGGGCAGAAGAACGCAGAGAGAGGGAGTGGAACGGACGGTTGCCCCTTCACGCTCTCCATGGTGTCTTCATTTTAGCGGAGGGAGGTGGAGGAGGTTGAGGAGGAGGAGGAGGAGGAGGACCGTAGGAAGTCCGGTTCGCCCAGCCGACGATCCATGCTTTCCAGAGCGGTCCTCCCCCTCGCAGCCGCCCTCCGCCACCCCCTCCCCCTCACCTCGTCTGCTTACCCCTCCGCTGGCGACCCCCGCCACAGCGCAGAAGGGCCCGCAGGCCGCTGCAGAGAGATGGGGGCGGGGACTGGCGCAGAGCGTCGACCGCTGGGGCAGGGGAGCGCTGTCGCTCGGCGGCGCGCGGTTCATGGTTAGCGGGCGAAGGAAGGTATAACATATTTCTTTTCGTCGCCAGGGGCGCCTGTCCCAGGGCGGCTGGACAGTTTCTACCCCTACGTTGCCAACGTAGGGGTGTAAACCTTCCAGCCGCCCAGGGGCAGGCGCCACTGGCGACGAACAAAAATTATGTTATACCTTCCTTCGCCCGCTAACATGGGGGCCTCTGGAAGCGACTAGTGGTGGCCAGGGCTCGACCTAAACGGTGCTTTGCCGATGTCGTGGGCCGTTTTCGTTTCTGGTGCTCAGCGCGGATTTCTCGGATCCGCGTTGGCCCCCCCTCCCTGGCGCGCATCGCGCCAGGGGCGGCGCCGGAGGCGCCGCGGGGGGGGGGGCCCAACGCGGATCCGAAACATCCGCGCGGATTGCCAACAGTTACTGTTTATGGCGTTTGTTTTTTCTTCTAGTCTGTTTTCATTTCGATCTTGTTTTGCAGCCAAGGCGGGGCGAAGACAACAAAAAGAGGGAAACGAAGACAACAAACGAAAACGGCAAACACCGTTTAGGTCGAGCCCTTGTGGAGAGACACTGGCCCCCATCGCTAGTCATCGCTATTTTCCCTCGTGTCCGATCCTGCCCTGGCGCTGTCGGCGCACGCTGGCGGAGGACAACAGAACAGCAATGACAGGTAATAGAGATCGTGTACTTTTTGCCGGTCGGCGCGGGCCCTCGCACCTTGCCCCCCCCCCCCCCCACCACCCACACACCCATGGAGTAGGTCGTGGCTGTTTTTGGCGCTTGTCTCAAGCAGATGAAGTCTCCCCGATGGGACGCACTGTTGCAAACAGTCGCGCTAAGCATAGGTCCGGAGCCAGACCCCCCCTCTGTCCCCCCACCTTCCCCTTCCGCCCAATGTCGAAACGCAGAATAAGAAAGCGTTCACATTGCGGTGCTGATGAGCTTGCGGCCTTGGTGGCCCCTCGCCGCGGTGGACTCCCGGACAGCCCGCGCGCCAGGGACGTCGGGAGCTGCTGGAACTCCTCGATCGCAGGCTCTCTGGCGAAGAGGACCCCGCGGCGCGCGGCGGGCGGGGGGATGATATAATATTTAGGTGGCTTGCGTCATTCCGCCGACCCCCAGAAGACGTCTAGCGGCTTCGAGCCCAACCCGCCACCGTGCCTGGGCCGTGGGTCGGAAGCCTCTTGGATGAATGTGAGGGTTGTTTGGGTTCTGTCCCAGTGGCCCGGTGGAGGGCTCTTGGGCGCCTGTGGGCGCCTTCTTGGGGCGCGCGGCGGGGGGGACAGAACGTTACCACGGGTGCATCAGGCATGAGCTTGCGGAGTCGGCAGCAGAGAGACGGGGGGGAGAGAGGCGTGGGCGCGGCACGGGCCCGCAGTGCACGCTCCGTGGGCGTGGCGGTTCCACGGCCAGGAGGGGGATGATGAGTCGGGGCTCACGTGACTGCGGTCAAGGCAAACGGTGGCCCGCCAGAGCGCCGGATCCCTCAGGATCCTGCAGAGCCAGGGGGTGCGTTGACCCAGTCTTGCGTGCAGGATCTTGCAGGATTCTACAGGATCTTGCCAGATCCTGCAGCGCCTTACTTCGGCCCGGGTCAGTAGATCCCCGATGGACACGAGAGTTTCTGTGATATTTCGGCCCGATGTTAAGGGGGGGGTGACCTACATGGGGGGTGAAAGAGCGCTGAAGAGGCCTCCGGGGCCCCTTTGGAAACACTATTGGCTCCAAGAGCGGCCCTAAAGGGCCCCTTTAGCCTTTAGGGCCCTTTTCTTTGCTTAGCTCTCCAAGGAGCTATCCGGGAGAAACGCGGATAGCGACGCACTCCAAGCGCTCACCCCCCATTTAGATCCCCCCCCGTGGCACCCGCCCGAATAACTTCGGAGGTTTCAAGGCTGGAGGGGCAGGGAGTGAGGTGAGGAGGAGGAGGAGGATGAAGAGGAGGAGGAGGATGAGGAGGAGGAGGAGGAGGAGGAGGAGAAGGAGGAGAGAGGAAGGAAAAAGGCGAGGAGGAGGAGGAGATAATCAGGGGGACGCGACATGTGGACCTGGCCGCCTGCTGATGCGGGTTTCGCCGAGCATTCCATCAGCCTCCTCTCTGCGCCTTCCTCCCTGCGCCGTCCCCCCCCCCCCCCCACCTCGCCCCTCCCTCCCCTCTCGCCCCTCCCACTCCCCCCCCCCTCACGCAGTCGCTTCCTCCCCATCCCCCTCTCGCCACTCCCTCCCCCTCGCCGCTCCCCCCAATTCTCCCCCCTCCCGCTCGCCCCTCCCAGGGAACCGCTCAAGGCCGAACCGCGGATCCCTCCCGCGTGCGGCCCTAATCCGTTCCCAGAGCCGCCTCCAGCCGGGGCGACGGGCCACGGGGGCCCCCCCCCGCGGCTCTCAAGACGAGCAGCAAGAAATGAGGATTGGCGTCAACCCATCGTGCTAGTAATAGCTATGCGTAGGCCCCCCCCCGAGACCTTCGTGCTGTGAGTGCCCTCCGTTCTTTCTTCTCCACCTCGGCTGCCCTGCGCTCGTTCTCTTTCTCTTGCAGCCAGACAAGTCGTACGTTCTGCGACAGAGCGCGCGGGCGGATTGCCTCGCCGCGCCGCGACGTACCAAAAGGAAGCGTCGCCCCCGCAAAGGCGACGCGGGCGCGGACAATCCTGGAGTATACAGTATAAGCTCCGTGGCGGGCGCTTTCTGGCCGCACCGCTCGGGAACCAATATATTACAAGATGGTCGTACTACATGTTGGGGTCGCGCCTCCAAGGAGGACACGTGGTACTAGTCTGTCCTCGTGCTTCCCCGAGGAGCAGGTTGAGGGCAGGACAGGCCAGGACGTCTGCATGCCGGCTCCAGTAACCAGAGAGGTCCTCAAGGGGGCAGGGGGTGTGCCGAGCAAGTCAGAATAACTAGTGGAAGCCCAAAGCGGCTTGCGGGAAAGCCGCCGCGCCGGCTCAGAAGTCTTGGAGGAGCAGGATGAGGAGGAGCATCCATATTCCGACTAGCCGTAAGGGTGACCTTTCGCCGGAGTGACCTTTGGTGCGGGCACAGATGGGTCCCCAGATGGCTGAAACGAAGCAGGAGCAGCGGCTTGCGCGCCCAGGTTTGATCCCCCCGCGGCCCCCAAAAAGCCGCGCACCACAGGTCACTGTTACCCAGGGTCACTCTTGCGTGTGGCCGAATATTCTGTCCTCCTCCCCCTCTTCCCCCAACGCCTCTTCCCTCCTCCCCGCTGGCACGAGCTTCGCCGAGCGAGGACCTCGAGAGGACGAAGGCCCTGGTTGCGGACGCGGGCGGCGTGGCGCGAGCGAAGGCCGTCTGTGATTCTCCCTCGGTCGTCGGAAGGAGTGGAGGTAGACAGGGAGAGGGAGGCAGGGGGTGGGGAGTGAGGAGTAGACAGAAGAGACATGCGGAAACACGGGAAGAGGAGGGGAAGGGAGAGACAGGAGGCGGCAATAAGGGGATGGGAAGAGGGATGGAGGGAGGGATGGATGGAGGAGTAATGAAGAGGAGGGAGGGAGGGATGGCGGAGGGAGAGGAGGAAAAAGAAGAGGGAGGAGGGAGGAAGAATATTAAGCAGGAGGGTGAAAGAGGATTCTAATATGAAGTGGAACAGGGGAGGCGGAAGAGGACGGGGAGGAGGAAGGGACGGCCATAAGGCGAAGAGAGCAGAGAGGTCAGAGAGGTCCGATATTCGAAGGAACAGCCCCAGGTGGCTCCCCCCTCGGACGAGAATTGTTTGTCACCATGGTAGGGAGCGACATCTTAGAAGGGGGTCAACGACACGGGACCCGCCCAGGCGAACAGCTACCAGCGTCGTCGGGTTCGGCCTCGGCCTGTATTTTGGCCGCACGGCCGAGGACTCGGGCTCGCTCCCCATTCAGGCCGAACATCTGGCAAAGGTCTGCCAGCCAAGAGTTCGGGCTCTTGCAAAATCCTGGGAGCGGTGACGATCCTTCCGCAGCCTTCCGCACCTCGCCTCGACGAGCGAAGGCACTCGAACGAGGCGCGGGTTTAAGCACCTCCAGAGGGAAGCTGCCAGAGGGTACCTCATTCCTCCGTTCACGCCACAATGGCGGGGATGTCTCGAGCGGTTTGCCTGTTTGCCAGCGCAACATCCTACGCTTTCGGAGCAGATGTTGAGGATGTCTCGAGCGAGGCGCTGATTTGCGCACCCCAGGGGGGGCAGATCTTGAGAATGTCTCGAGCGGTTTGCGAGGCCACAGGAGGCATCAGGAGGCCACAGGAGGCCACAGGAGGCCCCAGGAGGCTGCAGGAGGCCCCACGAGGCCCCACGAGGCTCCGGGAGGCCCCAGGAAGCACCAGGAGGCCCCAGGAGGCCACAGGAGGCCACAGGAGGCCACAGGAGGCCACAGGAAGCACCAGGAGGTACCGGAAGGCCCCAGGAGCCCCCACGAGGCCCCAGGAGCAGGAGGCCTCAGGAGGCCACAGGAGTAGCTCTAATCCCTAATGTTTTACGCCTGTTCCTATAGATTGGGCCTCCCCTGGAGATGTTTTACGTAATTATGTTTCTATAGATTGCCTCTCTCTTCCGTATCCATTCCTAAGCATTTTACGTACATCCTCAAGCCGCTGGATTCCTTCCTCAAAGCGAGCCACATAGTCCGTCACGCGCTCGCCTGCCCTGCGGTTGTAGCGGGTGCCCTTGAAGAAGTCACCCATCGTCTCACCACGCCTGACCGCGTATTGCCCTCCGAGCGCCGCCTCGAGCGCCGCCAGCACATTGTTGATGGCTCGCATGTAGTCCGCTGGCTGGCCCTCCTCTGGGATCTCGCCGTCGGCGTCGCGCGTCTCCGCGACCGCTGCGAGGGGCTGAAGCTGGTCCCGAGGGATGCGTAGCCCGACTCGCCGAGCAGCCCCTCTGAGTCGCGAGACCAGCCTGGCCGCCACGCAATAGTTCACCTCGAGGTTGGTGCCAAGGGCCCAGATCTCCACGTCGTCCCTGTAGCGGCGCCAACCCTGCGGGGCCCCATCCCAGACTGGATGAGACTGTACCGTTCTGCAGGACCTCCCGATGGATAGTCGTCTCGATGAGCCATGACTCCCGCCGAGGATGCTGCTGGTCGATGCCGACGCTGAGCTCGACCCTATCGTACTCAACCGTTCTGATGCTGAGCTCGACGCCGTCGTACTCAACCCTGCTGATGCTGAGCCCGACGCAGTCGTACTCAACCTTGCTGATGCTGAGCACGACGCAGTCGTACTCAACCTTGCTATCGTCCTGCCCGGCGCAGCCGAGCACTCGTCGAGGCCCTTGTCCGTGTCCGTGGGTCGCTTGCCTCAGCAGGCTCCGCTACCATTTGCGGAGCCGCGCCAGCGGTGTGAATCAGCTCGCTCTTTCTGTCCAGCGCGCAGCGCCAGGGGGCAGCTGCCCCGATCGCTCTCGGCCGCCCGCGGGGCGGCAGACCGTAAGATTGTCAAGGGCCCTGGTAGGTCCCAGAGCCCCAAACGGCAGCGGCGGGCGTGGGCCTCACAGGGGCCCAAGCGGGGCTCAAGCGGCCTCTGGGCCTCAGGAAGTGAAGAGCATGACGAAGTGCATGCGGGGGAGGTAGGTCAGGTGACTGTAGAAATACACGCACTTCGTCACACCGAGGGCCCACCAACGCCAAATTTTCGCACACCCCTCACAAGGATCGCGACCCTGGTCCCCATGCGGATCTCTTCCGAAGGTTACACTGGCAAGGCCTGCATGCGTCCTCGGGCCAGGTTTTTGACACCCGATCACGAGGATCGGCGGTGCAGCTCGCGAGTGGGAGCGCGTAGTTAAGGTTTGGCCACACAGCTAAAGGCATGTTGGCTTCGTCTTGTTTTTCTCTCTGCTCACGCACCGACTGGTGCAAGGCTTACCTGACTGATCACGAGGATCGTGGCTCTGGCCCCAGAGGGAGCTCCACCGAGGGCGCACCGACGCTTTATTTAGGCACCCCTCACGAGGATCGCGGCCCCCCATGCGGAGCTCTGCCGGAGGTCACAGTAGCAGGGACCGCATGCGTCCCCAGGCTCACGGAAGGCCAATTTTGGCGCACCCTTTACGAGGATCTTATCTTTGGCCCCATACGGAGATTTTCCGAAGGTCCCAGTGGCAGGGCCCGTATGCGTCCCCAGGCCCACGGAAGGCCCAATTCGGCACACCCCACAGGATCGTTGCCCTGACCCCATGTGGAGTTCTTTCGCAGGTCCCAGTGGCAGGTCTGGCATGCGTCCTCAGGGCAAATTTCAGCGCACCCCTCACGAGGACCGTGGCCCTGGCCCCATAGGGAGCTCCGCTGAGGGCCAACCGACGTCCAATTTCGGCACGCCCCTCACGAGGATCGTGGCCCTGGCCCCATACGGAGCTCCAGTACGGAGTCCCTACTATGAGACATAGTGCGGAGTCCCTACCATGAGCCATGGGAGTCTCTAGTAGGAGTCGTGGTACGGAGCCCCTGCTATGAGCCATAGTACAGAGTCCATTGGAAAGGTCGAGGTAGGGAGTCTCTACTATGAGTCATCATACGGGGTCTCTAATATGAGTCGCCGTATGGAGCTTCAACAATGAGTCGTAGCAGGGAGCTCCCACTATGAGTCGTAGTAGAGACCTCCTACTATGTGTCGTAGTAGGGAGCTCGCACAATGATTCGTACTAGGGAGTTCCCACTATGAGTCGTAGTAGGGAGCTCCTGCTATCAGTCAGAGTAGGGGGGGGCCCTATTATGAGTCGCAGTAGGGAGCTCCTACTATGAGTCGCGGTAGGGCGCCCAAACCATGAGTCGTAGTAAGAAATTCCTACGATGAGTCATAGTAGGGATCCCCTTCTATGAGTCGTAGTAGGGAGTTTTTAGTATGAGTCATAGTGCGGGGTCCCTACGATGACTCATCGCAGGGAGTCTCTACTATGAGTCATAGCACGGAGTCCCTTGTATGTGTCGTAGTAAGGAGTCTCTACCATGACTCATAGCACGGATCTCACATTGTGAACCGTAGTACGGAGTCCCTACTCCGAGTCATACTAGGGGTTCTCTACTATGTATCGGTCATAGTACGGGGTCTCTACAAAGAGTCATGGTAGGGAGCCCCTACGATGAGTCATAGTACGGAGCCCCTAGTCTGAATCATAGTACGATGTCCCTACTGGGAGTCATGGTACGGGTAAGGATGGACGTCGCAGAGCTCAAAAGTGAAGCTTGCTTTTTTCGGAGATGCCCGTTTTCGCATCATCTCTGAAGCCCCTTTCTTCTTCATATATTAAGATTCTTGTGGATTTTCTATGTTATATATGGATGTTCGGATTCTGATTTCTATATTATATATGGTTTTCGGATTCGATATTATATATTATATATGGTTTTAGGATTCGGATTTCTATATTATATATGGTTTTCGGATTCGATATTATATATTATATATGGTTTTAGGATTCGGGCTTCTATATTTTATATGGTTTTCGGACTCGCATTTCTATATTATATATGGTTTTCGGATTCGGATTTCTATATGATATATGGTTGTCGGATTTCTGCCATTATTATATATATGGTTTTCGGATTCGGATTTCTATATTATATATGTTTTTCTGATTTCTGCCATCATATTATGTATGGTATGAACTTTATTATATATGGTTTTCTGATTTCTGCCACTTGTATATATTAAAGGTTTGGAATCCTGATTCATCAGATTCGTCGCAAGCTTTCACTCCTTTTAAGGGGTCGGCGGAATCGCGCAAGCTACTTCAATTGAAGGTTTGGGCTCCAGAACCACCTTTATTGAAAGCGTTCGCTCTCTGAGTTCCGTGTAATATATGAGATTTGGGCGGGGAACGCGGGCGCCCGGAGAAGGGGGGAGGACGAGGAGGAGGGGGGGCGGAGGAGGAGGGAGGGGGAGGGGGGGGGGCCTTTTGGCCCCTGAAGCGTATGTTGGGAGGGCCAGATCTAGAGGGTGCCCGCAAAATCGAGACCCGCAATGCCTCGTGGCTGCCTTGTGTATCGATGGTTTCAGGGGCCCCACAGCCATTTAGTCGCAAGCATAGCATGCTCCCACCGTCGCGCCCCGCTTCAGCCACACGCTTCCAAACTGACCTTTTGGCAGACAGTTTGCGAACCAACCTTTTGGAATGGAATGATGTGATTTGCTTGTCTTCCAGTGGGCTTCTATCAATTGTCACGTCATGGGGGAGTGACTTTCCAAAGGCTCGCAGTTTGGCAAGACGCAAAGACTTCTGGAATCAATTGCCAAGTGGATTTGAACTCGGCCGACACGGCGATGACGTTCTGTATGGTTTGGGTATTGCACCTGTGCTGTTCCAGCGAGTTG